GGAGCCCGATGCGGGGCTCGATCCCAGGACCCTGGGATCATGACCTGAGCCGAAGGCAGACGCTTAACGACTGAGCCACCCAGGCGCCCCGTTATTCTATTTTTTAAGAATGCATAGCACTGTACTGTAATTTAGGTAACCAGTCCTCTATTGATGGATATTTAGCCTGTTTGTTTTTTTTTTTTAACTGTTACAAATAATGTTTCGGTAACTATCCTTGTTTATACGTCTTTTTGTACTTGCACAATATATCTAGACAGCAAACTTTTAGAAGCAGAATGTTCAGTAGGTCTTTTCAAGGCCTCTGCAGTCTACCTGCTGTTAAGCAGGGCCAGAAGGTGGCGTAGGCATCTTCTGTGCCCTGTCCTGTTGTTTCGGAACCAACTTCTCTGCCTTCTTCAATGTCTCCGTTATGTTAGAAGCTCATGATGCGGTTGCACTGTTTTCTCCTGACCTCCTTTCCTGGTCACTCTCTTATTCCTTGAAGATTTTAGCTCTGGTTTACTGTCCTCCTTTTCACTGCTGTTCCTTTCAGGATTTTCAGTGACTTTCATATCAATGTGGATTACTCATCTCACATCCCGGTCTTCTCACCCAGGATGATGTGTTCTTCCATCCCTCATAACCAACACCCATGATTATAACCTAAACTCCTTCACTTTAAGTATCTGCATTGTGAAATCTTGCATTCAAGATCTCTTTCTCCAACAACAAGCTCCTCAACTTCTAATTCACTTACACTAATACTTCTACTATAATAATCCTTTGACCTCATCAAGACCACTAATTCACTCAACAATACTTTATTTACAATCTAATACCCTCCTTCTGTTTTCAATTCCCCAAATCCAGGTTGGGCCTAGCTGCCAGCCTTATCCTCATTTAATCTAGTACAGCCAAAAGTTGCTGGAGAAAACCACACAACTAGGCTCATGGGCTCTATTTTAAAGGTTTTATTTATTTTTTTATTTGGGAGCGGGGAGAGAAAAAGAGGGGGGAGGGGCAGAGGGAGAGGGACAAGCAGACCCTGCACTGAGCGTGGAGCCCACTTGGGGCTTGATCTCAACACCCTGAGATCATGACCTGAGCTGAAATCAAGAGTCCGTCGCTTAACCGACTGAGCCACCAAGGTGCCCCTCTATTTTAAATTAATGACCATAAAACTCTAATGGGCACTCAATTTGGCTAGAAGTCCTACTTACATTTCCCTAGTAAATCTGATTCCTGGCCTGCAAGATGACAGTTTCACAATGTTTTCTCTTTTTACCCACTACCTCAGTTGATAACTTGACATTGTATTTTACTGAGAAAATAGAAGCAATCAGCTTAGACGGTCCCATATTCTCACCATCAAAATTGTTAAAAAGAAAAAAGTACCTCTGTTTCTATCAAAGGCTCCTCTGCTTATGCTCTGGATCCCTTAAAGACTTGTGCAGTTCTTTCTCTTTCTCTTCAGCATTTTTGACTTTTCTTTCTTTAGGGTAATTCTCATTAGATTACAATCTCATCAGATATGCTCTAGAATCTCTTTCCCTTGAGTACACACTCTCTCCTAGCTACCATCCCATTTCTCTGACACCTTCATGCAAAATTTCTTTAAAAGTGTTATATACATTTGTTATCTCTATTTTATCTTACATCCTGTAACCCTAATTTGGTTTCTAATCTCCCGGAAACTGGGAATAGGTCACCAAAGACCTTCGTGTTGCCATATCTGATGGATTCTTCACCGTTTTCACCTTTACCTCTCAGAAGACTAGACTCAGGTTACCACTTGCTTCTTCGTCTGTATGACACTATGCTCTCCTGGTTTTCTTTCTATCTTTATGTCTCCTCCTCCTCAGTCTCCATATCTGGCTCCATGTCTTCCACTCAATCCTCAGTCCTAGGCTCTCTTCTTTTCTTTCTATGCTCTCTCCCTAAGTGATCTTATATATCTTATATCCCATAGCTTTAAATATCGCCAAAATCTTGTTGACTCCCAATTTATTATCCAACATTTCTACTTGGTTATAGGCATCTGCAACTTAACAACTTGATTGCCCCCCACCCCAACCTGAGAGTTATTCTTCACTTCTCTCTTATTCTATGGTAAGAGGGTAAGAGTAGATAACCTCTTTAGTGGAGTAGATGACTCCATTAAATAAGTCTATTGATTCTTTCTCTCCCAGCCTCCTTATCCAAACCTCTTTCATTCCTTACCTGTACTATTATAACGGCCTCCTAAGTAGTCTCCCTGCTTCTATTTTTGCCTTCAAATATCCATTCTCAAAAAAAAAAAAAAGAAAAGAAATCAATTCTCCCTAGAAGATGATCCTTTAATAAGTAATTCAGTTCATGTCACTTATGTCTAAGCTCTTCAATGGTTTCCTTTGACATTTAAAATTTAAAAACCTTCTTAAGACCCTATGTAATCCAGCTCCTACTTATTTTTTCAACTTATTTCCTCCTTATTCACTATGCCCCAACCACACTGGGTTTCTTTCCGTTCCATGAACTTGCCAAGTTCTCTCTTCAAGGCCTTTGCTCTAGTGTTCCCTCTGCTTGGGATGCTTTTTCTCTTAATTGTTATGTGATTGGCTCTGTCTTGTCATTCAAAGCTCATCTTTTTTTTTTTAAAGATTATTTATTTATTTGAGAGAGAGAGGAAGAGCACAAACAGGCGGAGTAGCAGGTAGAGGGAGAGGGAGAGAAGCAGGCTCCCCGCTGAGCAAGGAGCATGATGTAGGGCCTGATGCGGGGCTCGATGCGGGGCTCGATCTCAAGACCCTGGGATCATGACCCGAGCCGAAGGCAGACGCTTAACCAACTGAGCTACCCGGGCACCCCTTCAAAGCTCATTTTAAATAGCATTTCCTCAGAGAGGTTCTCTCCATTTAAAACAGCCCCCCTCACTTCTACAAAGTTACTTTGTAGCTTATTACACTATTTATTTCCTCAATAGCACTTATCTCATTCAAATCATAGTCTTTATTTGTTTACTAGCTTACTGTCTCCTTCATGTAAGTTCCTATAAGGGCAGGTAACTTGTCTTTCCTGTTTTATTTCCCCAGCATTTACAACAGTTTTTGACATACTGAAGACACTCAATAAATATCTGTTATATAAAAGGATGCAGCAATTGAATTATTAACTATATTTGTATTTAGGTAATAGTGACAAATGCTAACAGATGCTGACAACTGATAAATGTGCATTTTGTTGGAAAAGCATCATTCTGAGCTTTGTTCGGAAATGAATCACCCAAATTAGAAAGGTTTGCTGTTATGAACTAATCATACACAATATACTTTTCTGGTGGTGTATGGTGTCTCTTTAGCAATAAATAGCTAATTGATAATTCTTATATGAAATTCATGAAAAAGTAATATTTTTACTTCTATCATACTAATTAGAAGGCCATTTAATAGACTTATACTGTTTTTCAAAAAGCCTCTAAGATAGGTAAATAGCTTTAGGCTGGTTTGCATTCTTTCCACTTAGCTGACATTTCTGAATCTTGACGCCAAGGTCCTTAAACATTTTATCTGAATGAATGTACTGTCTGAATTTAACCCCAGATATTCTGCCTCTCAACCTTGGATTTTTTAAAAGATCTTTCTTTTCTGTTGTTACCAAATTACAGAGGTTTTTTTTTTTTAAAGGAACAAAATGGAAAAAAAAATTTTATCATATAAAAGAGTCATCTTTTTCCTTTCAGAAGTTTATTATATCTATAAAACACTATTCTTCCAAGACTCTTAGGTTATGAGTAGCTGAAATAATTGAAGAAATCTACCAATAGTAACAATTTGCACATCACTCTATCCCATTACATATATTAGGTTCTTTATAATATGTGGTCCCAGTAAAAAATACACAAGAATATAATTTATAACAAAGTAGACTTTGTGTATATTTAAAATTTCAGGTTGATCTAAGTAAATTGATCTGGACGAGTTTTGTTTTTATTAAAACTAACAGACCACTCGATTAAAATGACAATTAATTCCTTCCTTCAGTTAATACCCCAAAAGCAAGCCATCCTTTGCTTCTGTGTAACAAATGGCCTCTGTTAATTAGGTCTCAGTTCGTATGCTGGCCACATTTGGCAAAGTCCAGTCCTCACCAAAAATAGTAACAACCTGCTCTGGATGGCAACCAAGCAGCAAATCTATTTTGGGCCTTAATTTTTGAAACTCCAAATGTTAAATGCCATGGAACTGAACCTTAAATGGCATAAGTAAACTCATCTGATATCAAAGGACAGAATACAAGTATATGGGATACTTCAAAACACCTGTTTCTTTATTCCAAAAGAAATAATCTTGCAGGCTTAGTAGGTGAATTTATATCTAACCCTGACACATGTAAAACCAAAAGAATCTCAGAACTGAAAAAACAGGAGAAGGAGGAGTAGAGCAATATCATCTTAGTTGTTGTCTCTTACAACACTCCACATTTCCTATTTTCTTAGTGTTTCTGGTTTTTATTATTAGTATCTTAGTTACCTTACCTGTCTCTGAGTGTGCTGGGGCCTAGATAAGGGTACACGTTTTCCTTAAGCTTTCCTTTGATGAGATGGTCCAGGGTCTCATGTAGGAAAGGTTGATGTTGAGTATACACATTTTCTACTCCCTAAGACAGGGGAAGACGATTCTTATATCATTTTGGGGGAACTTGCAATATAACAGTTAATGATACTCATCAGAAAAGGACATGCACTCAATAGGGATTTCATGGGATAGATTCAAATGGGAATTTTCTGGTTAAATAACTTAAAAATTTCTTTTCATCAATTAGAAATGTTCTAATCTCATAAAAATACTTTGTAACTTAAGCCTAGCTATTATAAAAGAATTTCGAAAATGGAATTGCTTAAATCCTTTATCATCTTTTCAGTGATTCTTATCCTTTTGTGAAAATGTTATATGGTAGGTAGAGCAAATAAGAGGAAAAGACCACATAGAAAAGGAGTCAAGAAACACTCAGGTAAATGGAAACATTTCAGGAAACATAAGAAAGGCTTGCAGATTAAAACTAATTTTTTTTACCGTTTTAAGAAAATAGTAATTTTAAAAGATCTACAGTTGTTTGCTTCATCTTTAATTTCCTTCAAAGAAAAACAACCAAACAAATCTTAAATGATAAAGAAATGGAGTAAAACAGCTATAACCAACAGAACTGTCTGTTTTACTCTGGGGTATTTCCTGGAAATATTCTATTATTCCCTGTTCAGCTGCTCAGTCCAATGCTGATGCTGCTCCCATACAGAAAGCATTTGAAGAAAAAGCTTTTGGGAGATGTCTGCTTTAATTTCATTTAATTGACATAGTACTAAATTAGCAGCAATCCTGAAGTTACTCTGAAGATCTTATTTATTCACTCTCAGCCGCAGGGGCTTCCACTGTTTCTCATTTAGTAAAGTATAGAGGAGATGCCATACCTTCAATCCTTTGAGGAACTGTTTGGTGATAGCCACAGCATCTTTGGGGCTGAAAAGGTCACTTCCTCTGACCCGTTTACCACCATATTCAACTACTGCAGACACAAGCTATTAGGAAAAAAGAGAACCAGCTCTTATTGCTTGGGGATCAGGAAACTCATTTCATAAGAAAATACCTTTATTAAGGAAATGAAGACATGAGAGGACATAATTATACATTTCTGTAAGTAAAAGCAGTATGATTTGTCAGAACTAAGAATATAATAATAGAGTTGCTAGCTGTTTGGTGGGATTAATATATAAATTTGGTTACCTTTCGATACTTCTCAGAAACACCTTTATTCCTGAGGTCCATCATTAGTCCTGGTAGGCTATTGCTGCTGTGTCGCTCATAATGTAGAGCATAAAGCATCACCAGGCGGGCAGCATCAAACTCTGTCACTTTGGGGTTCTGCAGGAGCCTCTTTACATTCTGAAAAAACGAAGAGCTGATATTTATCTCCCCTTCACCTGAGTGATGTATAAGATCTTAAGTCTAGTAAGTCTAATGAATGGCAGTGATGCATCTGAGTTCATGACTAAGATTACTACAATGGCAATGTACAGGTTATAGGTTTAGCAATTGTTTCAACTACAGAAAATTAAATGCCTTTGCCCAAGACAAGAATTTCCCATTGCAATTGCTTTAGGACAAAAATGAATTTAACTATGGATAGTTCCTTCTTTCTTTCCTTTGATGAGATGGTCTGTGGTCTCATGTGGGAAAGGTTGCAGTTTCCTTGCTGAAACAAGGAACATATACTATTTCCACCATTTCAATCAACACAGCACACAACAGAACTGACCCGTTGACTTGCAAAACTATTGCTTAGCATTAGTGACTGACCAGTGAAATGGAGACAAGTTGGTAGAATTTTATGTAGGAGGACTGGGCTTAATCTCCAAGAAGCATCAGATGTAACAATGTTTCCACATGCCTTTCAGAGATATGAGTATGTAAAGAAAAATGAGTGTGTAACCTCTAAATTGAACACTTGTGATCTTAAGAGGGCAGGTATTGACTGCAAAGGAAGCTGGACAAAATCATTTAGGTTTTGTCAATCCTCATATTAAGGAACTTCCCCATAGTACGTATTTATGCTTATTATGCAGCAGAACAAATTAATTCAAGTCAAGAACTACTCTGTGATCCCCCTCTAAGCATAAGGCACTATGCCAGGCACTGGAGGATATAGAGGTGAGTTAAACACAGTTTCTTTCCTCAGTGAGTTCACAGACAAGAAGGTGAAGGGGAATGAAACAATTACAGCCTATTCTGCTACAAAGCACGTTTCTTGAATGCACTTTAACTCTATGAGATCATTAAATATGGGAATGGTGTCAGTTTAACACAGAAGGTATAATGGCTTATACGTAGTTTTTCCAGTATGTTAGTATTAAGAAGGGAATAGGGCCAAGCTTCCTCTTTAAGAGGAAGCTTTAACACTATGTTAAGAAGAAAGGATGTAAACCCTACACAAGAGTTTTCTGCAAGAAGTAGCTTGTTTTGTAGCTTTAAGAGCTGTTTTATTTTCCACTGTATTAAGATATCTGGGGAAAGGGCAAGTGCATGAAAAGGATGTGAAGAAATTTCTCTGAGTTAAAAAGCAAACAAAATGACAGCCAAAAACTGACTGATATCCCCATATTGTATTTTTAATTTTGGTGAAACTAGTTTGTATAGAAGCAAAAGTTTTTCTGACCTTACATCTTGAAGAATAAAATGTGAGCCCTAGGAGTAAGGAAGGCTACAAAGGATGGACTGAGTATATTTCTAGGTACAAATGTCTGTGGAGATTTAACTGTGCTAATATTTTTATTAGGATTGTCACTATTTTTTTTTTTTTGGATTGTCACTATTTTTATTAGGGCTTTGATTACAAAGTTATATAGACTTTTTTTTAGTTACGTGGATTTTAAGTGACCTGCTTATAATCCTATTTTCCCATAATACTTATTTTTAGTACATGATTTTGCAGAACTGGAGGTTTTTCAGGAAAACACGTGGTATTATAACAGAAACATATGTATGCAAAAAACAAAACAAGAAACTGAAACTGAGAATCAGCACAATGCGGGGAAGGGGACACAGAGTGAAGAAAAGTACATCTGGTTGCTGAGGAATCAAGAAAGACTTCATGCAAAAGGCCCTAAAGAATGAGTAAGTGTTAGAATTAGTCTGGGAGACTAAAAGAGGAGATGCTCTTAACAGGAATATGGAAATCAGAGAAAGAAATGGGTTGAGTTGAAAGACTGGCAAGAGCCTTGGAGGGCACTAGAGTCTGAGGACATACATCCAAATGGAACTTTACAACTTATGAGATGCTTTCACATACCTTATCTTTTTAATACTTCACAACAACCAGGCTTAATGTTTAAGAACTCTTCTGTTCACACCAAAGAGAACTACGATGACATGGGGAACCACCCAGGTGGCTCTCAAGTAGGAAGTTCTCTGGGTAGGATTTCTATTGTTGCTTTTCTGGGTGAATATTTCACTAGCATCATCTTTAAGGAATCAAAAGGGAAGATATTTCTCTTCTTTAGATTTAAACCCTGCAGTCATAAGAATTTCCTTACTTTTTTTTCTTTTGTAGTACCCTTTCCAGAGCAATCACGGAATACAGACTATTTAGAATACCTGTTCAAATTTGCCACTAGTTTCCACCATAATAAGAATACCCTATTTCCTATGTCTCTCATCAACTTAGCCTAAGTTTAAAACATCCATCTGGGATCTCTGTTGCCACTTTTTTTTATAGGCACAATGTTTCAATTCCTGCCCTTGGGATCACTCTCTTTTTACCTTAAATCTACTCAATTTCTGTATTTTTCAGCAAATCTGAGATTCTCAAGTATAAAACCACAAAACTGGTATAGGGACAAAGACTGCCCCAATCAGCTGGTACCCTTCCTACTTGCTCCCTTTCTAACTACTTTCGCTTGCATCTTGACTCTTGGCTCTTTCCCATTAAAGAATTCCACTTCTCTTCCTTGAGATCTGGTGCTGGTATTTAGAGTCCCTGGCTTGACTCTTAGTTCTCCCTTGAGGATGTGGCTCAGATCTGATCCAAGATTACTTTGAGTAGATTACTTTGCTACTTTTGATCCCTTAGGACCCAACCCATGACTCAGGTCAGCGTTCCAGCTAGGCTTATCTATTTCCTCATGAAAGGAAACATGTAGGTACAAGCTGAGTTCTTTCTTCTCTTTCAGCTATGTAAGTCCTTGAAGAGGAAGGGCATTTTTGTCTGCCTGGATCCCACATTATCCTCTGACTTATTATTTTTTTTCAAAAAGATTTTATTTATTTGACAGAGAGAGACACAGCGAGAGAGGGACTACAAGCAGGGTGAGTGGGAGAGGGAGAAGCAGGCCTCCTGCCGAGGAGGGAGCCTGATGCGGGGCTCAATCCCAGGACCCTGGGATCATGACCTGAGCCGAAGGCAGACGCTTAACCACTAAGCCACCCAGGCGCCCTATCTTCTGACTTAATTTTGAACATTTCACTCATGGCTACTTGACTCATCAACTTGACCAACAGTGGTATATGTTATATTGAGATTCCAGGGTACTAACCAGAGAAGAGAAAACAATCCGAGAGACTTCTAATTACACAGCAGGGATCTGCTACACGGTGGTATTTATATGTTGGAAATATGAGTGAATTACATAATGAACTTCTGGTTTCTCTTTTCTTATGAAATTTTATGAAATTTTCCATAACCCTTGAAACTTTCAAGAGAGAAAAGTATATTTCACATAACAATGGCTGAGTAAAGAGCAAAAGAAAACTATTGTCCTCTTAAGAAGATAGGATTCAAACACAGAATTCACTGAATTCTAACATTCATATATGCCTAATCAAGGAATAAGAAAAGCAAAAACACTCTCTCTGAAGGTTAAGTTTCAAAAAGGAGCTAATGTTCACTCAAAAAACATCAATTAAAAAACAATTCTTTTCTGATATTTAAAGATCCTTCCATTGTTTTGGGCAACTTTTCTGTTTTCTTCTACCAAAATTATGATGAAGCAGCACAAGAACAAATTTTTATAATGACTTAGTTATACCACTGTATAAATTACAGATGAAGTCAGCAACTAAAAATAGTCTTTATTTTGTTTTAATTTAACCTAAAGAATAGGAACTCTACCTTGTTATCTGCTATCACATTAATGTAGTAAAATCATCAATGACTAGCATTAATAATCCAGCAGATTAGAATAGCAAGATGAAATTCGCAGAAGCCTTTAACATGCTGATATGATAAAAAAAAAATGAGTCTTAACAGTTTGAGAGAACAGTGTTATGGGACTATAAAGAGCTTATCTAGAAAAAATTATAGAAAGTAGGCAGGACCCAATTCTACTGACTGGTAAATACATCTGAGTCAGTATTCTTTTCCTTAATGACTAGTCAACATAAAATTTAGCTTTGCTGTAGGTCTTCTGCTGGTCAACACTGTCTGAAACACTGGCTAAATGTTGGTTTAGAGAGAAATTGATCATTTTTATTCTTAATTGGTGAAAGTAAAATTGTCACCTCAATGTGTCCCAAACAATTTTCTTATGATTTTAATGAGAAGCAGAAAACCCTTCTGAAATCTGGGAGAGAGAGAGATCCGAGGTGATGAGTAGATTAGAAAACAATATCCTAGATGTCATAGAGAAAACAGAATGTATCATCAAATAATAATATGGATAATGTGACAGTTATTACTTATTGAATGTTTTAAGTACCAGGTACCATATTAAGTGCTTTACATGTACTAGCTCATTACACCCTCACAAAAATCTTTAAGGTAAGTACTGTAATTTTTCCCCATTTTACAGACAAAAAGACTAAGTGGTTATAATTTTCAAACCCAAGCCATCAAAGTCCCAAGCTCTTAGCCAGTACTCCATACTGCTTCAAACAGAACTCTTCCTCTTAATTTTTCTAAGAAGTATTTATTGAGTCTTTATATCTTTAATAGGATGATTTGAGGCCTTTTACGCAAGGTCAGGAAAGAAGGATATAAAAACAGACTAGTTCTTCCTTCTAAATGAAAAGCTATGACATGACACACGATGGGGGAAAACTGCTTACTTTCTGAAGATATTTCTCTTCATGGCATGAAAAAAATATCTTCCTCACTAATCAAATGAGTCTTTTCCAAGGCTATAGATATGTTTTAATGATAGTACATTGCAGTTCGGTTCTAGTGAAAATTCTTCTAAATCAAATATTTGTTAGCCTGTAGGATAACTGGTTAGAAGTGGCAGTCATTTATTTAAGTTAATTTTTAGCAATATATGTATTTTTTTCCTTCATCATGATATAGTTACTATTCAATAAAGCAAACGCCATCTCTACTCAAAAACCTCAATTCATTATTTCATGACGTATTATCTAAGGTCAAGCCAAGGAATGCTATAACCCATCTAGGGGTC